GCATGTTTAGCCTGAAGAAGAGAAGGCTGAGAGGAGGCATGATCGCCATGTATAAATATGTGAGAGAAAGTCATAAGGAGGAGGGAGCGAACTTGTTTTCTGCTGCCCTGGAGACTAGGACACAGAGCAATGGCTTCAAACTACAAGAAAGGAGATTCCATCTGAACATTAAGAAGAACTTCTTGACTGTGAGAGCTGTTCAGCAGTGGAACTCTCTGCATGTGGTAGAGGCTCCTTCTTTGGAAGCTTTTAAACAGAGGCTGGATGGCCATCTGTCAGGGGTGATTTGAATGCAATTTTCCTGCTTCTTGGCAGGGGGTTTGACTGGATGGCCCATGAGGTCTCTTCCAACTCTAGGATTCTATGTTCCATGACATATGTCAATTATTCAATGCCTTAAACACATACAAACATTACACTTATAATCAACTGAATTAAAATTAACAGTCCTTGTTGTTCTGTTTCTTATTGTGATATGGCCTAAGGGCTAATCAATAAAATTACTTACTTACATATTAAACATTTTAAAATTACATTCAATATTAAAATCATGCCATCCAAAAATCATATACTAAGGATGTTTATAGTCATTGCACATATTCCAATTATATTATTGCAATGCGCTGTTCTCCGAAATCCTGATCCCAGAGCCAGATTTTTACTCTCCTTCTGATGGCCAGGAGGGAGGAGGCTGATCTAATGTTGCTAGGGAGGGAATTCCAACCCGAGGGACCACCACTGAAAAGGCCCTGTCTATCATCCCCACCAGTCGCGCTGGCAAAGAAGATGGGACCGAGAGCAGGGTCCCCCAGATCTTAATTCTGCTCAGAATAATTCTTGAACTGTAATGATTCTCATCAGTCCAGGAGTCTTCTCAGCTAGGATTCATGATACTCCAAAATATGTTTGTTAATCATTTCTGAATATTTTTGAATTTTCTTTTACATCCTTATTTTGGGGTCCTCTTTAAAAGTCAGTAGTAATGGAGTCCAAATCATATCCCCCAGATAAAGGGCAACTCATGAAAATACAATGAGTGCTTTTCTGATAATATAAAGATTTCATAAGCAGAATGGGGATGGATTTGGTTTTCAGTGACTCCCCTTCTTCTATCTAGTCCACTCTGTCATTTGTTTTGGATAATCCAGAGGACCATTAGGGCTGTTTATGGAGTGTCTTATAGGAAAAGGGAGGAATTTCTGAAATCTACTGACCTCCCTTCTATAAATGGATTCTATTTATTATATTTATTTATTTACAGCTTTTATATTCCGCCCTTCTCACCCCGCAGAGGACTCAGGGCGGATTACAGTGTACACATATATGGCAAACATTCAATGCCAATTTTTGACATACAAACATATACAGACATACACAGAGGCTATTTAACTTTTTCTGGCCGCCAGGGGAGCTGTCGCTTTCATCGTCCATCTGCGACACTGATGAAGCACTTCCGCATTCCCCGCATGCTTCCCCGCTGGAATGCTTTGCTGGAGTCTTCTTTATGGCCTCATAAATCAGTTAATTTAGCCTCCCCACACTTTTTAAGGTGGTACCTAATTTTCCTACTTGACAGATGCAACTGTCTTTCGGGTTGCAAAGGTCAACAGGCTACACACAATTGGTTGGAAACCCACTCCAACCCGGGCTGGCTTTGAACTCATGACCTTTTGGTCAGAGTGATCTTAATGCAGCTGACACTCAGCCAGCTGCGCCACAATCTACTCATTGTTCCTACAACTTGGGGCAAGTAGTAGGACCAGATGCCAAGCTTATGCCACATTCTATGACATGGGATTTCTCCAGATTAATGGAGGTATAATGGAGGTATAATCTTGCAAATCAAGGCATAATCTTTCCCATGTAACCCATATACCGCTCTCATGTAAACCTGTCACATATTTATTTCTCTCATGAAACTATTTCTTGCCTTTTCTCTCCCTACTTGATCCTTATCTAGACTATAACATTGAGTTTGTGGAGAAATTCCATAAAATGTATGGCTGCTATCCCATTCCAACTACAGTAGATCCATCGTATCAGTAGGATTTAAGTTAAAAACTGACTCATAATTCATCAAGTGATTCAACAGGTTTACTCTAGCTGGTAGTAACAACTAGATTTAGGTTATAAGAAGCCACTGATGTAGACTTATGATGACAGAGGGACAGATGGAATTTTATCTCCATCATCTCTCTGTTTTGGGTTCTCAAAGAAATCCAATAACTTTTCTAAATTAATCATTAAAAAGCCTCCCAGCTGTCCTCTTTCCTCTCCTTTTCTGTAATAAAAACAAACCTTTACATCAAACCATAAAAGTAAGCAAATGGCATGTTTTCAAATGGCAAGTGTATTATGATAGCTTCACGTCTTCAGCTCGGGAAGATTTATAGAGGTATTAACAGAGTGCTGAATCAAGAGATCTCTCTTTTAATATCCGCATATCAATACTGTCATGTTTCATTACTAGCATCTTGTGCTCCTAGCGTTTGACCCTAATAGCTAATCAGCGTTGAGAATTGCAGGTCTGCAGGTCGAAAGTTATAGAACGAAAGCTGCCACTGATGTCTATATTACTAATCATTACCATATAAGCTGCTGACGCCAACCTTTTCCCCCCTATCAGCATGCTTGCTAACTTTTGACATCAACTGACCTGGGTCACGCCAAAAGAAAGGAAAGAAGGATCAGCATTAGAAACTGCAATAACTCTTCTTATGCAATTTAGGTTTGCAATAAAAATGCTGGCAATTCTGAATGTTAAAATCTAGCAGGAATCCCAAAAATGTTAAAAGAGCTTTTGGCTACCGTTCTGAAATTTGAGGTTACGTAATTTGTTTCAGGTTCTCTTTGATCAGAATTTATCAACAGTTGCAAAATCTGTCAATAATACAATAATGAAAGATTTATCTATGCCTAATCTCCGTTCAAGAGTTGTTTAGCCTTTAAAGCCCTAAACGGTTCCGGCCCAGTTTACCTGTCCGAACGCATCTCTCCCTATGAACCATCTAGGTGCTTAAGATCCACGCTCTTGTTACATCCCAATTAGATTACTGCAACGCACTCTACGTGGGGTTGCCTTTGAAGACTGTTCGGAAACTCCAACTAGTCCAGCGGGAGGCAGCCAGACTGCTCACCGGAGCGTCATACAGGGAGCATACCACCCCTTGTCAGCTCCACTGGCTGCCGATCCAATTCCGAGCACAATTCAAAGTGCTGGTTTTGACCTACAAAACCCTATACGGTTCCAGCAGTGTATCTGTCCGAACGGATCTCCCTCTACGTCCCACCCCGGAATCTAAGATCTTCTGGGGAGGCCCTGCTCTCGACCCCGCCTCTATCACAAGTGAGGTTGGCGGGGCTGAGGAGCAGGGCCTTCTTGGTGGTGGCCCCCCGCCTGTGGAATTCGCTCCCCGGGGAAATTAGATCAGCAACATCACTCCTTTCCTTCAGGAAAAAACTGAAAACATGGATTTGGGACCAGGCATTCGGACAATCGGGCAGATAAAGAAAGGATTTTGACAATGGCCAGGAAATGACTAAAGGAATGGAATTTGGAACTCTGAAAGACAAACGCTGAGCATGTGAATAGTTTTTATATGATATGTTGTATATTGATTGTTTTGATTGTTTAAACTGTGATAATTGTTTTAACTATGGTTTTGTACATTATGTGTAATTTGTATAGGCATCAAATTGTGCCTTTCTGTAAGCCGCCCTCAGTCCCCCCTCGGGGGTTGAGAAGGGCAGGGTAAAAGTACCCGAAATAAATAAATAATAAATAAAATGCCACAAAATTGGGTCTCGGTCCTGCCCCCTTCGCAGATGTGATTGGCGGGAACAAGAGACAGGGCCTTCTCAGCAGTGGCCCCTCAGCTATGGAACACCCTTCCTAGGAATATTAGATCGCCCCCCTCCCTCCTAACATTTCAAAAGAGAGTCAAAACCTGGCTGTTTGAGAAGGCATTTGCAGATGCAGTGTAACAGACTAATTGAGATCCATGGAACGATTGGACGATGCAACGGAAAAATGATTTTAGTGATGAGACGCTGAGGACTTGTGTCTTATAGTTTTTATTGTTTTATTGCTTTTATATGGTTTATATTATATGTAATGTTTTTAACTGTATTTATGTTGTTTGGGGGCATTGACTGCCGACTGTAAACTGCCTCGAGTCACGTCCGGGTTGAGAGGTGCAGTATATAAATATGGTAAACAAACAAACAAACAAATAAATAAAAGTAAAAGTTTTCAAATACTTCCCCTGGTACTCAGGGCTTTGAAATCCAAGAATTATTTTATTTCGACCCTGAAGTTAAGAAGAAAGGACGACATGACAAGAAAAGTGAAGCTAAAGTGGAGACCAATCTCCACCTACCTTTGAAATACTAGTATTATTCTCTGCAGCTTTATTCACTTACCTACAGAGACACTCGCTGGAACACGTCAGCAGGCAAGAGTCCAAAAGTGGCAGGCTCAAACCCAGAACTTCCACCCATGGCTGATACCAAATGAGAGACTCCCTCCTGGGCACACAGAAAACTGGGTGACTTGGAAGGTGCTGAACAGGCTGCACTCTGGCACCACAAGATGCAGAGCCAACCTTAAGAAATGGGGCTACAAAGTGGAATCCACGACATGTGAGTGTGGAGAATAGCAAACCACAAACCATTTACTGCAATGGAACCTGAGCCCTGCCTCATGCACAATGGAGGACCTTCTTATAGCAACACCAAAGGCACTCCAAGTGGCCAACTACTGGTCAAAGAACATCTAACAGAATACAAAGTCTGCAACCTTTGTGTTTTGTTTGTTTTCTAATGCAATACAATCTGTGTGGTTCGCTCCTGACATGATAAATAAATAAATAAAAAATTTATTTCGACCTTGAAGTTAAGAAGAAATGAAGACATGACAAGAAAAATGAAGCTAAAGTGGAGATCAATCTCCACCTACCTTTGAAATACTAGTATTATTCTCTGTAGCTTTATTCACTTACCTACATCTGGATCATTGGCTTGGACTCTTGTTAGCAAAGCTTTAGTGGCCGTGTTCTCATAGACACATGCAGTGTAATGATCAGAGGAAAACATGGGTGGATTGTCGTTGACATCTTCCAAAATCAAACGGATTTCCGACTGGCAAAACCTTCCCCCTCCATCTGTTGCCCTTGCTATCAGGTTGTACACAGGGATCTTTTCACGGTCCAAAGGGGCTAAGGTTTTGAGTTCTCCTAAAATGGATTCATTGTGGAAAAAAGGGAAAGTAAATAAATGCAACATTATTATTATCATTATTATCAGCTGACCTCATGTGAGTCAAATTCTAAGACCCAGAAAACCCTGTGATGTAGGTTTGCCTTGGGGTTGTTATAAATTGAAAATGATTTGAAGGCACACAACAACAACAACAACTATATGCAAAATGGATTGTTGTAAGTTTTTCAGACTGTATGGCAATGTCCCAGAAGCATTCTCTCCTGACGTTTCACCTGCATCTGTGGTAGGCATCCTCAGAGGTTGTGAGGTCTGTTGGAAACTAGGAAAATTGGGTTTATATATCTATGGTATGTCCAGAGTGAGAGAAAGAACATAACAGTAAATAAAGGACAACACTCAAAACAGGGAAACAATCAGGGACAGCTAGTCACCTCTCGACAAAGGATTCCCCCAGGCAGCAAGAAGCCAGGCCTTGAAACTGCTAGGCCATTAAATGAGAATCAAGGTGGCCAATTCAAACATTCACATCTCTCTGTGGACCTCCCTCCCTAGGGATATTAGATCGGCCCCCTCCCTCCTCACCTTCCGAAAAAAGTGTAAAAACTTGTTTGGAAGTGCAACAGAATACATAACTATGAAATAAGAAGAATGAACATGGAATGGCTTGACGATGCTGCTGGATGAGGATTTTAACAAGATGACACCCATGATCATATGTTTTCATTGGTTATATATGTTTTTATAATGTTAGGTAGTATGATGTAACTGTATTTTTATGAATAGTTTTATGAGCAGTAAATTTGCTAATTCTGTCGCCTAAGTCTGAGAAAGGCGGGCTACAAATGCCGTAAATAAATAAATAATAAATATCTCCATCAGACAAGCATTTGTTTCTCCCACTCAGGACATTCCATAGATATACAAACCCCATTTTCCTAGTTTCCAACAGACTTCACAACCTCTGAGGATGCCTGCCATAGATGCAGGCAAAACGTCAGGAGGGAATGCTTCTGGAACTTGGTCATACAACCCAAAAGACTTACAACAACCCAGTGATTCCAGCCATGAAAACCTTCGACAATATATGCAAAATTATAAGCATTTATGATAATTTCTTCTACAATGACCTGAAGCATAACAATATTCCTGGTAGGGGCATCAACAGAATGAAGTATTCTAGGTCACACAAGAACCTACCCCCCCCCCCCCCGAAGGGACTCTCATTTTCAAGCCACTCCTTCCTATGGAAGGAAAGTGACAATGGGTGGGTGGAGCTACCTGTATCCCTCCTTTGTTTTCTTTGTTTTTACAATACATGAATAGGATTTCTCCAGCTAAGACAGCAATACCTCCACATGAACCACCCAAGCCTTTTCATGCCAAAACTGGGGAAGGGGGTATGAGTTTGGTTTCACTCCATCTTAGATTAGCATTAGAACAGTGTTTCTCAACTTCGGGGGTCGGGACCCCTGGGGGGGTCACGAGCGTGTATCAGAGGGGTCACCAAAGACCATCAGAAAAACAGTTTTTATTGGTCATGGGGGTTCTGTGTGAAGTTTGGCCCAATTCTATTGGTGGGTTCAGAATGCTCTTTGATTGTAGGTGAACTATAAATCCCAGCAACTAACAACTCCCAAATGTCAAGGTCTATTTTCCCCAAACCTGACTAGTGTTTACATTTGGGCATATTGAGAATTCGTGCCAAGTTTGGTCTCCATCATTGTTTGAGTCCACAGTGCTCTCTGGATGTAGGTGAACTTCAACTCCAAAACTCAAGGTCAATGCCCACCAAACCCTTCCAGTATTGTTGGTCATGGGAGTTCTGTGTGCCAAGTTTGGTTCAATTCCACGTCCTTGGTGGAGTTCAGAATGCTCTTTGATTGTATGTGAATTCTAAATCTCAGCAACTACAACTCCCAAATGACAGCATCAATCTCCCCTTCAACACCACTGGAATTCAGATTTGAGCGTATGGGCATTTGTGCCAAATTTGGTCCAGTGACTGAAAATACATCCTGCATATCAGATACTTACGTGATGATTCATAACAGCAGCAAAATTACAGTTGTGAAGTAGCAACAAAAATAATGTTATGATTGGGGGTCACTACAACATGAGAAAACTGTATTAAGGGGTTGCGGCATTACGGAGGTTGAGAACATAGTGCAACTTGCTTTAAGGACATGTTATGCATTTTCAGTAAGAAAAATGTGCACAAGTCTTTGAAGAATGTACACAACTAAAATGCAGATGTGGGGGGAAAGCACATAAACATACTTTAGTCAACGGGAAAAATCCATTACAGCGCATGCACTGGGGGAAAATGCATATAAAATACATACTTTAGGACAAACACAATTTGAAATATGAACACATTTCCTCATGAGTTGACAAAAACGTTTAGCAACCCGATATGTTTAACTGGGATGAGACTGGAACTAGGCATATAATGAGATTTAGAAAAAAATAAACTGCAATGTGATAGTTTTTCATATTCCCACATCATGCATTTAATTTGTATGATTCAGCAATTCCATATTAAATTCCATTGGGTCATGTGAAAATGATGCATATCATGAAAATTCTGCTCATCTTACCATTTTCAGGATCTAAGTAAAACTTGTTATTCCCAGAGCCGTACAGTGAATACCGAATTTCACCATTGGATCCAATATCTGCATCTTTGGCACCCATTTGAAGGATTGCTTTGTTGGGTGGAATGTCTTCAGGAAATATTGCAATATATGTTACCTAAGAACAAAAAAATCGAAATGAAAGTCTATGTAGGAGCAATTTTGAAACAAAATATATGCATGGGTTGAATGTGTGACTAGTCATTTTCCCCCAAAGGTAGAAGGAAGCGGCTGGCAAATTGTTCTAGTTTTTGAAGTATTCCGGATTTCCAGATAAGAGAGATTCAACTTGTATTGCCATCAGTCAATTTGAGAATTAGATCTATAAGCCAATTATTTTATGTAGTACTTTTATATTGTTGCATATTGTACTTCTAAATCATAGTTATTTATCTATATGCAAGTAGTCTACGGTCTAAACCAGCGTTTCTCAACCTGGGGGTCAGGACCCCGGGAGAGGGGGGGTCACGAGGGGGTTTCAGAGGGGTTGTCAAAGACCATCAGAAAACATATATTTCTGATGATCTTAAGAACCCCTTTGGCAAAAAAGGCTGAAGATTTCTCTGCTTATCCTTCTCTTCCTTTTTGGAAACAGATGGCGAATCCTCCCACCAAAAGCCCTCCTCAGCTGTGATTGGCTGGAGAGCTGTTTCATGCTCGGCACATGGCAGCACAATGCAAATGTGTTGGCAAGAGAAAATGTGTGAAGCTGGAGGGAGGCTTGCACCAGCGAGTCCCTTCAAGGCATGGAGGTTCTGTGTTGGAAGCCTGGACCAACACCAAGGTGTTGGAAGCCTTGGTGGGGTTCAGAATGCTCTTTCACTGTAGGTGAACTACAACTCCCAAATGTCAGGGTCTATTTTCCCCAAACTCCACCAGTGTTCATATATGGGTATATTGAGTATTTGTGCTAAGTTTGGTCCACAGTGCTCTCTGGATGTAGGTGAACTACAATTCCAAAACTCAAGATCAATGCTGACCAAACCCTTCCAGAATTTTCTGTTATGGGAGTTGTGTATGCCAAGTTTGGTTCAATTCCATCATTGGTGGAGTTTGGAATGCTCTTCGATTATAGGTGAACTATAAATCACAGCTACTACAATTCCCAAATGATAAAATCAATCCCTCCCAACCCCACCAAGTATTCAAATGTGGGTGTATCGGGTTTTTGTGCCAAATTTGGTCCAGTGAATGAAAATACATCCTGCATATCAGATATTTACATTACAAATAATAACAGTAGCAAAATTGCAGTCATGAAGTAGCAACAAAAATAATTTTATGATTGGAGGTCACTACAACATGAGGAACTTGCGGAATTAGGAAGGTTGAGAACGACTCTAAGTATTAATAGACAACTACATGACTTTGAGCATCATTTGACAGAAAAATGGAATGCAAATCATAGAGCTGGGACTTCTAGTCGAACTCTGTCATGCAGAAGTCTTCCATTCATTCTAAGTCATGATAAATTATTAAATATAAGTACATTAATTAAAATCTCTCTCTGCCTGAGATGTTAAAGAGAGGCTGTCAATCAGAGTAGACACTAAATGGAAGCTGTCAATCAGACTAGACAGATCAGATTGGACAAACAGTCCCACCTGGAATAAGGCAACTTTCTATCTTCACTGTTATTATTACTACAAGAGAAACCAGGGTTTAAGAGGTGAGCAGGGAGGAAAAATAGAGCTCCTCACTTGTCATCACAGCCACAACCTCTGGAATACCTTAACTAATGACAGTTATGGCAGAGGTCAAATCCAACAATGGGAATAATTGTCTGTAAGGCGATTCTTACATCTGCTATAATTGTGCATTGGAATAAGTATGTTGTAATTAGCAATTCACATTATAGTCAAGCCTCTCTCTAATCTGTTCCTCACAAGAACTGAAATTTATGAAAGAAAGAATGTATTTGTTCATTGTTTGAGTTTTTTCCCCCTAGAATTTTGCAAAGCAGTTCCAAGAATACACATGCAAGGTGAAAGTGCACACAAGCTTGAATTAGTAAAAATAACAAAGAATGTTCAGGAATATTGTTTATGAATAATGGGACAAAACTGTTTCCAAAACATGTATATGAGAAAACTGTGCATGGGATTTTGAAATATAATGACCATAAAAACAATTCTGAGACAACAAAAATATTGTGTGTGTATGGCATTGAGGGGGAGAGGTGGGAGGAAATAAGGAAACAAAAATACAATAAACAAACAAACCAAAAAAGATGGTCAAGCTAACCTGATCACAGACAGGATTGTTATCATTCACATCAGTGACAATCACTTCTACAGCCGTCTGAGTGACAAAGAGCCCATCTGTGGCTGTAATATTCAAAAGGTAGACATCTTGTTCTTCCCGATCCAATGGTCTCTTGACATAAACCTTCCATTCATTCTGAACCAGACCAAGGTCAAACTTTCCTTTTGGATTTCCTCCTGTGGAAATACAAACAAAAAAGAACCATTATCACCAATTTCCAAATATATATATATATATATATATATATATATATATATATCTCCTGTGAGCTTGGGGGGGGGCATGAGATAAATCTAAAATTGGATCTTACTGTTCCTTTTCACGTGAACAGTTGCTGGGATTTTTAATGAATGATGTTTATGTAATTTTAAAATACTGCTTTATTTTTATATTATTTGCTTCATTATTAACTGTTGATTTAATTTAAATTGGATATATTTATGTGTGCTGTTGTCAAAGTGATTGGTATAATTATACTGTTGTGAGTTTCTGCAAGTTTCCTCGGGGAGATGAGGTGGGATACCAATAAAGATTATTATTATTATTATTATTATTATTATTAGTAGTAGTAGTAGTAGTAGTATTCCCAAAGCTGCTCAGTTCTGGATGACTATGGACACATGATTAGTAGGCTTGGGCGGTTTCGTTCGTTAATTTCGCAATTCATTATTAATTCGTATTTAAATTAGCTTACGATCCAATATTGAGCCATGCAGGAATTGTGTGAGGAGTAATAAAGATTCGAAACAATTTTTTCAATTTATTTCGTAATTATTTCGTAATTATTTTCGCATGTCTGGTGCAAGTTTTATAGTTGTTGTTTGTTTTATCACACCAACAGTCAACAACAGAGGGAGAGGGAAGCTTCAGAAGTTCCTCCTGTCCCATTTGGAGTTTTTTTTTTTTTAGCATATTGCGCAATCGCGTCCGCCATTAACGAATCGATTCGTAATTTTACGAAATTTCGTAAATTTCAAAAAAATTTAAAGGAAAATTTCGGAATTATTTAAAAAAAACGAAACGCAAGGACCCCGTAAAAACGAAACGAGTTTAGAACCAAATTTTTCCGTGGTTACCCAAGCCTAATGATTAGGATACATATAGTTAGGAAAAGAAGTCAAAACTGACTTTTTTGGTGGTATCCTGAGACTGATTTAATGAATTGAATTTATCTAGGAGCCCGCCAGTGGTGCAATGGGTTAAACCCATGTACCGGCAGGAGTGAAAACCGATCCCACAAGAATGGTAAAACATCAAAACATCCAGGTGTCTCCTGGGCAATATCCTTGTAGATGGCCAATTATTTCACACCAGAAGCAACTTGCAGTTTCTCATGTTGCTCCTGAAAAAAAAACCAAACACCTATGTGGTGACAAACCATCCCATACTTCTAGTAGGGAGAAAATGGTGTTGTCCCAAGATAGCACTGCACCCAGGAATAGCTACAATAGGGATTGCTGACTAGAGATGGAATAGGGTGGGGAGCCCTAGTAGCAAAAAACCAAAAACAAAAAAAAAAAACCAAAAACACACAAAAAAAAAACACCCCAGACAAGGGGTGAAATGTTAATTCTCTAAGATGTTAAACATGAGCCAACAATGTCATGCGGCAGCTAAAAACGCCAATGGGATTTTGGCCTGCATCAATAGGAGTATAGTGTCTAGATCCAGGGAAGTCATGCTACCCCTCTATTCTGCCTTGGTCAGACCACACCTGGAATACTGTGCTAATTGTGGGCACCACAATTGAAGGGAGATGTTGACAAGCTAAAATGTGTTCAGAGGAGGGCAACTAAAATGATCAAGGATCTGGAGAACAAGCCCTATGAGAGTGGCTTAAAGAGCTGGGCATGTTCAGCCTGCAGGTGACCTCACAATCTCTGAGGATGCCTGCCATAGATGCAGGCGAAACGTCAGGAGAGAATGCTTCTAGATCATGGCCATATAGCCTGAAAAACCTACAACAACCTAGTTCAAACCCGTTTGCAAATATAATAATAATAATAATAATAATAATAACAACAACTTTATTTTTATACCCGACTCCCATCTCTTCTAAAGGACTTGGGCACTTACAAAGGGACAAGCCCAGAGAGCACAGAGTTAAAACATAATGCAATAAAATAAAAACAAAAACAAATAGAAACATATCACAATAAAACATAACATTATGAAAACAGTACCATGGGACCAATAAAAGTGCTGAGTATAGAGGGCTCTGAGTTTGTGCAAAATTCCTAGATAAAACTAGGGGAAAGTGCAAATTTCAGTGGCAGGGATGGGAGAGTAATGTCCTTGGGCTTTATAGAGTGGAGAGTGGAGGATTGTAGAGTGGAGGTCCATGCTAAAGTGCCGGAACTTAGGTATTAAAGGAAGAATTCTTGGAACTGTGTAATCAACGGCACAACGGAACCTGTATCTAGCCCATTAAAGTAATCACTGAGGTCACTGTGTGGGAAATACAAACATTAATTAGCTCAGAAAGCGTGCAAACATAGGTTTCTAAATTCTTAGCTGTAATGAATCTGTGTTGGATAATATACCGTAATAACACCTAAACACACCCTCATCTCATTTTGAAAGCTAAGTTGGTTAATATTTGGTCTTACTCAGAACCAAGTATCTTCCTATTTTCCTAATGTATCTAAACTACCATATCATTCTCTTTCTTTTTACCCTTCTTTATAGCACTTTCTTCTCTAGATCCTTTTTGGCACGCTCACATTGTCCAAGGAATGGTCAGGTTCAAAATGAGGAGATAGAATACATTCATTTACACAACTGTAAAATTTTCAGAGGCAAATTTTTGGAGGCAAAGATGAAGGACTTTTGACTACATCATGAGAAGAAACAAAAGCTTAGAGAAGACAATGATGCTTGGGAAAATGGAAGGAAAAAGGAAGAGGGGCCGACCAAGGGCAAGATGGATGGATGGTATCCTTGAAGTGACTGGCTTGACCTTGAAGGAGCTGAGGCTGGTGATGGCCGACAGGGAGCTCTGGCATGGGCTGGTCCATGAGGTCATGAAAAGTTGGAATTGACCGAATGAATAAACAACAACAATAATTTTCAGGGAACCTCTTTGTAACTCCACTTGTTTTTGTTGTTGTTCATTCATTCAGTCATCTCCGACTCTTCGTGACCTCATGGACCAGCCCACGCCAGAGCTCCCTGTCGGCCGTCACCACCCCCAGCTCCTTCAAGGTCAAGCCAGTCACTTCAAGGATGCCACTTAGTACTTCCCAATTTCAACATCTCCTTTTTTCAGATTGGGCCACCCTATTCTCCCCTCCACCTCCCTCTAGCACTTAGAATACACCATAAACAATGAAGAACCATTTAACTAACTGTGGCCATCTTCCTCCTGAGATTATGATGGCAACAGCTGGAGGTGCTTTTCTCTCTTATGCGAGAGTCAAAATGACAACATTCCAAGACAATAAAATCATTTATGCCGTGTTTCTGAGATGATCTCCTTGTTTGACACCCCTTAAGGGCAATCAAACTCAAATGGTGAGCAATCAATAGCCTCCCTTTCACAATGGTACAATTGTCTTTCCCCTTCGGTCTCAAGAGAGGATGTACTACAACCCCCTCATTCTTGTTACCAAGACAATTTCATTAGCTGTTGATTATGCAATCAAGGGAATGCAGCAGGCTCCATTAAGAAATCCTTTAATGAAGGGTTTTATCACACCGCAATGTTATTTCTGTATTCATTACAATTCTCATTTGGATGTGTGCATATGTGGGAAAGGGGGTAGAGTAAACTGAACACACAAAGATACATGGGTCTTAAGTAGACCTAAGGAGAAGTCATTAAAGGAATAGTTTAAAAAATAAGGCTAGCAATTAGATCACATTTGTACAACAGGAAAAACCAGTGAGGAGGAGAGAGCCTATCAGATCCTACTCAGTAGAAATGATGGCATTGAACCTGGTCGTGTTACTTTTTCATATGACCAAAATTCCCAAAATCAAGGTAGAGATGCTTTCACCTGAAAAGAAAACATGGCCATTTCACAATTAGGACAGAAATTCTAAGACATCATTAGCGCACAAACATGAATCAAGAAACATGAAAGGCACTGCAGACTACTTCAGCCAGAGAAGTCAGCCATAGCAGAGCACCTGATGAACCAACCTGGACACAACATATTACTTGAGAACACAGAAATGCTGGACCACTCTCACAACCATCATGTCAGACTACATAGAGAAGCCATTGAAATCCACATGCATGTGGACAATTTCAACATAAAGGAGGAAACCAGGAAAATGAATAAAATCTGGCTACCAGTATTAAAAAACTCAAAAATTAGAACAGCACAACAACAGAGAGGAAACAAACAAGGACATCTAATCACCTCTCAACAAAAGATTGCTCCAGGCACTGCAGGCAATCAAATGCTAATCAAGGTGGTCAGTTGAAACATTCACACCTAGCTCCAGCAGACTAAAGTCCTTTGTCCCACCCTGGTCATTCCACAGATATATTAACCCTTTTTCCTAGTTCCAACAGACCTCACTACCTCTGAGGATGCTTGCCATAGATGCAGGAGAAACGTCAGGAGAAATGCCTCTAGAACGTGGCCATATAGCCCGAAAAAAACCTACAACAACACAATCATTAGTTTTGGATTTCATCTCCAATCAGATTCCTCCATTTCGGCCAGTGGTCAGAGATTTTGAGAGCTAAAGCCCAAGCAACCATTTTGCAAGAGAAAGAAAATGAGAAGTAGTGCCAGAACTTTAAGGATTTAATTATTGGGGACAGCTGCAATAATGATCCAGTCCGCAGTTTTAACTACTCTGTTATGCAACTGCTTTATTTACATATTTCTTGTATTTAGAAAATAAATAAGATCTCAGCTTGGAAAAAAGTCAGAGTATAAATGGATAAATGGATGGATGGATAGATGAAATACAATGGTATCCCTCTGAACTTCCTTTGATGGATCATTTCTATGGTGATTAAACACTACCCTGCTGGTTCAGAATAAAGGCCTTCCTCGTCCAGCCTTCTTTGGTCACTGAGATAGATAGCCTTCCATGGTTCTTGAAATCTCATTAGCAGAGTCCATTATGAGGCTAGACAGAATTAGTCAGTCCTCCGTATTCACAGATCCCTCACTCATGAGTTCCATCACAGCTTGGGAACATTTTTTTAAAAAAT